CCTCCCCCCATGACCCCCCCTCCCAGACCCCCTTCTGACTTCCCAGATCCCATTCCCGACATCGTTCTTTATCAAGCAAAGTCTGGAGTATATTGAAACCAAATAGATTATATACTTCCTATTTCCTCAGCAACTACCCTTTGTTATAGGTGGCTGTTCGGACCCCCTCCTCTGTCCAGTAACGAAAGCCGAGACAAGCATAAAATGGAATGTCCTTTAATTAACAAGACCAGAATCTCGGTGGCTGAAAGCCAAATAAACAAATAGATAAGGACTTTGGCAGCAAGTCCAACAAACCTTGACACCAATGCAAACAAACTCTGGCAGCAATCCAGCTTGCCAAGTTTGTTTCTCTTTAGTCAAAGCGTTGACTTCTGCAAGAAGGGCATGGCACAAGCAGTCTCTTTTATAGTCTGGGAAAGGAGCTTAATGACCATCAGTTGAGGGTAATTACCTCCTGTAATTACGTAATTGTTCTTGACTCTGAGTAGCCCTTCGACGGTGCGCATCCCGGAACAACTCACAGTTGAAGTAGCATTTATTAAATTATATTCATATAATGAAAGAGTGGGAATCAATGAACAATCTGAACCCTCTTGAAGGGGTTAATGAGTTGAAGAGTTTGAGGAACCCTAGCCTCTAGGTAGTATGGTTTGGATTAATTAAGGGCACATTTTCTTTCCCAAGTTGCTTCAGAAATGGTGTAGTTTCTGCTCAGGATTAATATATTCAGTGAACATTATAGGACAGATCTGGGCATTTTGCAACCACAGGCCACAACCGGCTCTTTTGATGGTCCCTGTCCACCCTGCAGTGGTAGTAATGGTGGCAGCCCTCCACAACAGTCCCAGTTTCTCATGTGGCCCCCTGGGAAAATTAATTGCCAACTCCTGCTGTTGGGTTTTGCCTGTTTCCTTGTTGTATTCTCTCTTCCAAGAGTCAAATTTAAAATAGTTTTAAATACAGACTTGATATAACATCCTTTTAAACCTGTATTTTATGTGGCAACCATGGTACATATATTTTCAGCAGTGGCTGATACTGTCTGAATTGAGATTTCCATAATCAAATCTATATTACATCAGACCCAAGAATAGAAATGGGAACTATTTGCAGCCTCTTTGATTTTCTTATTCCCTGCTATATCAACAATGCTGTTTTTATGGAAACTTCATTAGGTGTTGATTTTGCCCTGCAAACATCTGTAGATTACTTAAAACATTGACAATGTAAAATCATTTATTAGTTCCTCAAAAAACAGGTTTTATATGGAATAGAAATTGGGAATATTATTTTAGAATGATTAAAATGTTATAATTTCTGGATGCATACTTCCTTTCTAAAAATCTCAGTTTTCAGAAATAACATGTAAATTAGACATTGTAAATTTAATGTGCATCTTAATTTTCAAATTATTTAGCAGATGCCATATATATTTGTGCTGAAAGTTTTAGGTGCCAAAAAATAAGTTTGGCTTATCCACAGATAGGTTTATCTGGAAATATACATAGCAATGCTTCTTTTTAAGTACCGGTATTTTCTGTATATACTCGTGAATAAGCCATCTGCAGATAAGCTGACCCTCAAAATGTTAAGCGAAATACTATGAAAAAATGCAGATCAGCTTATCTGTGATTAGCATATTTTTCATGGTGAAAAATTTGAGGGTTGGCTTATCTGCAGATGGGCTTATATTCAGGTGTATATGGTAATTAGATAGAAGCAGAACATGTGATACTTTAGGCAATTCTGAATCATAGAACACATTTCTTTGGACCCAATTCTTGTCTTCTGGTTATGATAATAAAAGTTTTCATCGCCATTGGTCCTCTGCTATCAGTGCCTAATCTTAGAAAGAAAAGAGGCATACTCTATGGTAGATTGAAGATGCCATTAAATTTGCTGAACCCAGTGCCCTCTTACTTCCCATTTTCTTTAAAAAGGGAAGGTACTGGCATTTCTGGACCTAGTGTAGTAAAATTATCTTCCTTAAGACCTAATGGAAAACTGGAATGAATTTGGGGATTTAAAAATAAAACCCTAAACAAACTTCTCCAAACAAACTTTCTGCTTCCTAGTGCAAGGCCAGCAGATCTTTGAAATTAGTAATAGACAATTCCCAACCTTATCTGTCACCACCTGGATTTTTTTTTTTTGAAATGTTACTATGGGTGCCTTGTATCCCCTTTACCCCTTAAGGATTGTTCGGCTTTTGTTATTTATAAAACTATTATTTAATCTCCTTATGAAAATATTATTTGGTTATTTTTTATTTATTTAATTGAATTAATTTTAATGTTGAGTAATAATTCTGAAGAATATAGATGCTGTGCTTCCTGTATATGTAACCTAATGAGTCCAGTTTTCCTTCCACGAATATCTGTAGTGTCTGTATTATTTATGATAAACATGGGGAATGATCCTAGAGACTATTATCTAGGTCTTTGCCATGATATTTTGATGTACAATATTGAAATTCTGAAAATAAATAAGGGATGAAGCGATGGGAAACAGAAATGTCTTATTAATGGGATTCTTCTTTATGTAGATTTTGGCATCTTGAATATTGACTAGATTGTCTTCTGTTCAGCTTCAGTGTTTATTTGCTCATGTAAAATAGAACAACAAAGATGCTCTAAAGGTATTTGCAAATGTCTTTTAACACTGCCTTTCAGAAGTGAAAAAAGGTAGAATACTGAAACATGATTCTGAAGCAGCTTGACAAAATACGGATGGTGTAAACTCACTACAATTAAACTTGTAGCACACCTGTTCTAGAGAATTTAGCCATTTTTAAAGCGTTCTTTTGAGATATCAAAACATATTATATGGATTCCTTATAATAGAAAGATGTATTTGATTAGACAGAAGGATCCTAGAGATTATCTCATTGTAAATTAACAGTATTTTTATTTATTTTATTTATTTAGCCTGTGGCATTTACAGAGGTCATGCAATCACTGATATACAAATTAAAAGTATGTGGACAATACAATATAGGAGGCAAAAAATTAAATTAAAAACATAATAAAATCACCATAATGTGGGGCCATAGAATTGCAATGGGATGGATGTTATAATTCAATATCTAAAGAAGCTAACCGTCTAACTGCTTCTGATGTGACTGTGTTGTGATCATTCCAGGTGCCTTGAAATTTCCTGAGGAGACTTTCTTGAATTATACGTTGTTATAGTTTGTTCCAGAACACACCACAGACACATTGCGTGCTCTAGCCATTCCCCACTTAAAGAACTTAGCCTTGTTTCTGGCATGACCTATCCTGATTCTATTCTGGTGGCTCTATATTTTTTAGGGCAACTGCATTCCTGAAAGTGGTTTTGTTGGATCTGCGTTATCTGTTCGGTTGAGGTTTTTAAAAGTTCTCTATCTTAATTGCCATTCTTCATCTAGATTGTACCATAGTCCTTGACTTACAACAGTGACTGTTCAAAATTACAACAGCACTGAAAAAAGTGACTTAGGACTGTTTTTCACACTTACGAGCATCTTCATGGTCAAATGCTTGGCATGCTATGGTGGTTGCAGTGTCCTGGGGTCATGTGCTCAGCTTTTGCAACCTTCTGACAAGGAAAGTCAATGGGGAATCCNATGATGGAGGCAAGATAGAAAGTTGGAGGGGGGTGGAAGAAAGAGGTGTATGGAGAGTGGAAGAGGTATATTGGGGGTATTGTTGATAAGAGGAATTGCTGTGATTATTGTTTAATGTTGTATGGCCCTGGCTATGCATAGTATATATGTGACTGTATGAAAATGAAAAATGGAAAATAAAAACATTTTACTATATATATATATAAAAGAATGTTCTGTTTCTCTTCTATAACTGATCAATATAACAATAGCAAAATAAGTATGCTTGAGTATAATCATTCAACTTTGTATCAAGTTAGGTAAATTCTGGCACTTGTATAAATTGATTTTGATTATGGAGATACACGTGTAAGTGACCTGTGTCTGGAATATTGAACAACCTTTGAATACAGTCTTTTCCACAGAAAGAAATAAAGTGGACAATTAGGATTCCTTGTTCTTCATAGAATTATAATTTTTCCCTAATTTTAGTTTTTCAAATGTTAAGATTGTAGAAAAATATTAATGAATAATAATAATCATAACCTAAATTGGGATGCTTTGTGACTAAATGTGCAGAGATTGCAACATAATCCCTTTTTTATTCAGTTATAGGTGCCCAGCGCAGGAGAAGCCCCAGTGCCCTTGCCACTGACGTATTTGAGTCACATTTGGGAAGTCACATTTTACAGGTAAAAGCATTGGCTTTGCAAAAAAAAAAAGTTTAACATGTTTAGTAGCAAGATATAGGACACCTGTCAAATATTTGGACGTTGCTATTACTATTAGAGCCTATACAGTAAGGATTTGTTTGCATATTCTTTTTTTTTCAGTGAATGGTTAAGAGAATGTTAATGAGAGAGGGAGGGCAAATATTATTTTTATTATAATAATTTAAAATACAGCACATAAGTTGTATTATATTGTGCAATAGCTGTTGGTTTCCCAAATTGTCTGTATATATTTAAGTGTTAACTATTTTGTGAAAAACATTTTTTTAATCTTGTTCACATGTAGATTTTCATTTTTCTCCTCCTATTGTAGTTTTTCAGCACTATTGCTTCAACTGTTGTATTCATTGTGATATTTCTATTCATTTAAAAGATAACATGCCTTTAACACAATGTAGTGTTCCTCCAAATTTATTTTAGTAGTATCTATTGAAGACATTATTGTGACAAATGTTATGCATCAGCCATGTGTTTTCATATTGTTCACAAGATGTAGAAGTAGAATCTCATTTGGATTACTTTGCATCCAGAAGAAAATATTGCTTTAAGTTAAAAAACAAAGGGCTGAGTTCAGGTGCTCTCTGAGTTTCAACTCTCAACTCTCTGAGTATTCTATCATTGTTTGATAAGGTTCCTATTGTTTGTTGCTATATTTTTGATGACTTGTTGAACAATAATGGACAAAATGATTGGCAAAGTAAGTTTCTCAAGAAAACCAGGATGATTGTAATGATTGTTATTCATCAAATTTATAGATTTCTTATGCATATGATCTTGGTAAACATTTATCTTGAATAGCTTTATTTTGTGCGTGATCATAACAATATTTTGCATACATTTCAAAAATTTATCCTGGTTTTAGTTGAATGTGATTTGATACAGTTTTACAGTCTGTTCTGAAGAAGGAGGAAAGGAGATGTTGTTTGATTATTATCACTAGTATTAATTATAATGACTATGCAATCAACTATAACAATAATAACCTTTAACATCATCAAGCAATAACATCTGCCTATCCCAAGTCCTTGGGAAGGACTTGAAGAGGGATAAAAATGCCAAATCAAGTCTAAACATCTGGCTGACTGTGGGATGAATCATAATGTTATTAAAAATAATGTGAGAGTTTGGAGAGCACATAAAATCATGTACATAAAAACATAAAAACATATTTTTATTATTTAATAAATGTATATGCCATCCACACTTGCTTGATAGATGGACAGCATATACATTTAATAAATAAATAACTATTTATAATAAATACATAGAAATTTATTCATAATAGATACATAGCAATTTATTTATAATAAATAAATACATAACAAAAAGAATTATCTTGACTATGACTGTGCCATCATTATTTCCTTGCAAGTTTTAGTTGGAGATATGCTGCCCACAACCTAGAAGTAGCTTTGGGTCTTGGTATCCTTTGATAGACTTCTTCATGAATGTATCCAATCTCCATTTAAAGCCATCTAAGTTATTTGAAAGCAGTTTGGTGTAGTAATAAAGGCAGCAGGCTAGAAATTGAGAGTCTTTGAGTTTTAGTCCTGCTTGATCACAAAGCCAGTTGAGTGATCTTGGCCAGTCGCTCTATATAGTTGATATCACTGCAACATAGTGATACATTTCATGGGTTAATTGTGTGTTGCCTGAAGGAGTTCATTTTGTCTGTTCTGAACCTTCTTCCATCCAGCCTCATTGGATGACTCATGGTCCTAATGTTTTGAGAAAGTTTTACGTGTGCCTTGTAGTCCTTAATCACCATTGTTCACCATTCTTGTAAGGTGCAGGCTCCAAATATTCTAATGCTTTCTTATAAGAAAAGTATAGGGGGTCGCTTTTCATTTCATTTTTTATTAGGGACGCAGTGACCCAGTGACTAAGATGCTGAACGTGTCGATCAGAAAGGTCAGCAGTTCAGCGGTTAGAATCCCTAGTGCCGCATAACAGAGTGAGCTCCCTTACTTGTCCTAGCTTCTGTCAACCTAGCAATTCGAAAGCATGTAAAAATGCAAGTAGAAAAATAGGGACCACTTTGGTGGGAAGGTAATAGCGTTCTATGCTCCTTTGGCATTTAGTCATGCTGGCCACATGCCCACAAAGACGTCTTTGGACAGCGCCGGCTCTTCAGCTTTGAAAGGGAGATGAGCATGGCCCCCTAGAGTCGGGAACGACTAGCATATATGTGTGATGGGAACCTTTACTTTTACCCTTACCTTTCATTTTGATTGCTCTCCTTTGAATTTTGCTCAGCCGTGGTGGCGCAGTGGTTAAATGCAGCACTGCAGGCTACTGCTAGATCAGCAGTTCAGCGGTTCAAATCTCACCGGCTCAGGGTTGACTCAG